CACCGCTCACGGCCGCCTTTGTCTCCCCGCAGTGGCCATGTTTACTGCACACCGCACCTGGGTGCTCATTTTGAGGCTGAGTCGACCTAGGGGAGGAGCCCAGGACCAGGTTCAGATGATCGTCACTGGGTGTTGGCCGTGAGCGGGAATCGAACTCGGGCCGCCGGGTTCATAGAGCAGCGTAGAGCTACCGGCTACACCACCGCTCCCCATACACACTGACAAACTACCATACACACACACACACACTGACACACACACACACTCCCATACACTCACACACTAACACAACAACAACAACCGCCATTCGTCACTAAGTGGCGGTGACGTCACCACGACGCTTGTGCCAGGCTATGTGCACCCTGAGGCCATGTGAAGTGTCGAACGCCCGCTGGCAGGAGGTCACGTGGCAGACCCAGGTGCCACGGGTCGACTGATTGAGATGACTGGCAGATGCACCACCTGTGCCCCCTACTGTGCCAACCTGCTGCGCTTTATCCACCCGGCGCTCCGCTCGTTGTTGTGAGCGTCGCTCTTCCGCCCTCCGTGGCTACTGCCACCAACTGCCCAGTAGCGTCCTTCACGAGCCTCCTCCACAGAGGCCGATCTTGACACCACTGGTACCAGTCATCGGCAAGTCCACTCAGCTCCACGTCCTCCTGTACCACATCACTCCATCTCTTCTCTAGCCCGTGCCACGGCCGTTTAGCCCCCTCGATCCGCCGAACAAAAGCTGTTTCGGCATGCGGTGGCTGGGCATGCGGGCTACATGACCCAGCCAATGCAGCCTTGCCTGCTGGAGGAGCTCACCGATGGGACCTTGCCCAGGTCTTTCAAGGATTTGTGAGCTCCTCACACAATCCAGCCTGGTTAAACACAGGATGGATCGCAGGCAGGCTAGCCTAAATGTTTCTAACTGGCGAAGATGTTCCATTAAGGGGGTCAACACACACACACACTCCTATACACACACACACTGACATACACACACACTCCCATACACACACAGACTAACACACACTCACTCCCATACACACACTGACACACTGGAACACACGCACTCCCATACACACACTGACACACACACACTGACGCACACTGACACACACTGGCACACACACACACACACTGACAAAGACCCCCCATATAGCCTTAACAGACTGTAGAGGCAAGTGCTGTTAGCGAGCACCTATGAAGGCCGGAACGGTACACGAGGGGGTGGGTGGCCAGCACCACGCCCGACCGCCTTTGTCTCCCTAGTGGCAATGTTTACACACCGCACCAGGTACTCATTTGAGGCTGAGTCGACCTAGGGGAGGCCCGGGAGCGGTTCAGATCATCGTCACTGGTGTTGGCCGTGAGCGGGAATCGAATCCGTGTCGCCAGATTAATAGCGCAGCGCGCTAACCGCTACAATATCGCTCCCCACACACACTGACACACACTCCCATACACACACTCACACACACACACTCCCATATACACACACACACACACTCCCATATACACACACACACACACTCCCATACACACACACTGACACACTCCCACACACCCACTCCCATACACCCACACACACTATCATACACACACACACACACTGACACACACTCCCACACACATTCCCACACACACACTCCCATACACACACACTCCGATACACACACACACACTGACACACACACACACTCTCATACACACACACTGACACACACTTCCATACACAAACACACACTGACACGCACTGACACACACACTCTCCCATACACACACACTCCCATACACACACACACTGCCATACACACACACTCCCATACACACACACACTCCCATACACACACACACACTCCCATACACACACACACACTCCCATACACACACACTCCCATACACACACACACTCCCATACACACACACACACACACTGACACACACACACTCCCATACACACACACACACACTGACACACACACACTCCCATACACACACACACACTGACACAAACTCCTATACACACACACACACTGACACACACCCTCATGACATATACGCAGATCACTGGGCTTACTACCGAAACCAAATCCATTATCACACGGATCCAGTAAGCATAAGCCGACATTACAATACAGACACGCCTATCTCGTATGTGTTATAGTGTTAATGTCACACATGCACAAAAACAGTGGCAAACACACACACTAGGACACACACAGATACACACTAGGACACACACACACACAGATATACACTTGAACAGAGACACACACAGATACACACTTGGACACACACACACACGGATACACACTAGGACACACACACACAGATACTAGTACACACACATAGACACACAGTAGGACACACACACACATAGACACACTAAGACACACACACGTACAACGACAAAGATCCCCCATATATCCTGAACAGACTGTAGGGGCAAGTGCTGTTAGCGAGCACCTATGAAGGCCGGAACGGTACACGAGGGGGTGGGTGGCCAGCACCACGCCCGACCGCCTTTGTCTCCCTAGTGGCAATGTTTACACACCGCACCAGGTACTCATTTGAGGCTGAGTCGACCTAGGGGAGGCCCGGGACCGATTCAGGTAATCGTCACTGGTGTGGTCCGTGAGCGGGAATCGAACCCGGGTGGCCAAGTTCATAGCGCAGCATAGCGCTAACCGCTACACTATCGCTCCCCACACACACAGACACACACACACACTGAGACACACACAGACACACACGTACATACACTTAGATACACACGCGGACATATTAACAGGCACAGATAGACACACACACATACAAGACAAAGACACACATAGACAACAACAACCGCCATTCGCCACTAAGTGGCGGTGACGTCACCACAACGCTTGTGCCAGGCCATGTGCACCTTGAGGCCACGTGAAGTGTCGAACGCCCGCTGGCAGGAGGTGTCACGGGGCAGACCCAGGTGCCACGGGTCGACTGACTGAGATGACTGAGATGACTGGCTGATGCACCACCTGTGCCCCCTACTGTGCCAACCTGCTGCGCTTTAGCCACCGGGCGCTCCGCTCGTTGTTGTGAGCGTCGCTCTTCCGCCCTCCGTTGTTGTTGGAGGGCGACTGCCTCCAACTGCCCAGTAGCGTCCTTCACGAGCCTCCTCCACAGAGGCCGATCTTGACACCGCTGGTACCAGTCATCGGCAAGTCCACTCAGCTCCACGTCCTCCTGTACCACATCAATCCATCTCCTCTCTAGCCCGTGCCACGTCCGTTTAGCACCCTCGATCCGGCCGAACAAAAGCTGCTTCGGCATGCGGTGGCTGGGCATGCGGGCTACATGACCCAGCCATCGCAGCCTTGCCTGCCGGAGGAGCTAACCGATGGGACCTTACCCAGATTTTTTTTTGTCCGGCAAAAACAACCCCCTACCTCCTCGCAGTGTCGGACAGGCAACTCTGTCGTGGACAGTGCTGTGGGGAGAGGGCTAATTCCGATTGGCCCTCTCCCCTCATGGCGTCTGTCACCACCACAGTGGCTAAACGAGGGCTCTGGACGGGTGCGAGGGGCTGGTAACCCCTCCACCTTCAAAAAAATACCACCAAACCACGACTTAAATATCTAACTAATAATCTTGTGCCGGAGGACCGGGGGGACAGGCGTCTATGACGTCACCTGGCCAAACCCCAATTGGCGGAGCCAGGAGATTGAATCTCTACCCTCGGGGCTCCTCCAGAAACAACGAAAAGCCACTTCGTGTGGCCACGTGGAATGTTCGAACGCTCACTGCGGAGGAGAGGCTGCCACTCCTCTGCCGGGAGCTGGACCTGTACCGACTGGATCTCTGTGGCATTCAGGAGGTCCGGTGGACCGGTTCTGTCTCCTGCCACCATGAGGGGTGGACAGGCCTCTTCTCGGGGCAGCAGACTGCCAAACAACAGGGTGTGGCTCTCCTTTTGAACAAAATAATGAAGGTTGCGTGGGAGCGTGGCGTTGAGGTGTGGGAAGCTGTAAGCCCCAGGCTGCTTTGGGCTCGCCTTCCCATCAACCGGAGGCGAGGAGTGGTGGTCGTGGTTACTTATGCCCCCACCTAAGACGAACGGATGCAGGCAAAGCCGATGAGTAAGATGCCTTCTATGACCTCCTGTCACAGGTGCTGGCTGAAGTGGCCCCTCGGGATAGAGTCATCATGTTGGGTGACTTCAATGCCCGAGTTGGTCATGATGCTGGCACCTGGTCTGGAGTGATTGGAGGGCATGGGCCAGATCAGCTCAATAACAACGGTAGGAGGCTGCTAGATTTTTGTGCAGCCCATGGGCTTGTAATTACCAACATGCTGTTCCGGCATCAGCGCATCCACACAACGTCATGGATGCATGCCGGGTCCAAACAAGAACATCTGCTGGACTACATAGTGACGGACTAGCGGATGCGAGCCCATGTCCTTGACACCAGGACCCACCGTGGAGCTGATCTGCCCTCTGATCATCGAATAGTCATCTGTAAGATGCGCCTGCCATTCTTCCACTCCGGTGGTGGGTGTACACCCAGGACACAAAGACAACAACAACAACCACCATTCGCCACTAAGTGGTGGTGACGTCACCACGACGCTTGTGCCAGGCTATGTGCACCCTGAGGCCACAAAGACACAAACTAGGACACACACACACATAGACACACTAGGAAACAAACGTACACACTCGGACATATATACAAAAACAAAGATCCCCCATATAGCCTTAACAGACTGTAGGGGCAAGTGCTGTTAGCGAGCACCTATGAAGGCCGGAACGGTACACGAGGGGGTGGGTGGCCAGCACCACGCCCGACCGCCTTTGTCTCCCTAGTGGCAATGTTTACACACCGCACCAGGTACTCATTTGAGGCTGAGTCGACCTAGGGGAGGCCCGGGACCGGTTCAGATAATCGTCACTGGTGTTGGCCGTGAGCGGGAATCGAACCCGGGTCGCCAGGTTCATAGCGCAGCGCGCACAGACAGACACACACATACAAGACAAACACACACACATGCACACACACTTGGACACACACACACACATAGACACACAATTAGGCACACATATATACACACACGCACACACTTGGACAAAGCCACATACTTAGATACACACTAGGACATATAAACATGCTTAGATAGACACACACATTAACAAGACAAACACACACACACGTTAGTGAGAATACCGACGTTAGTGAACATTCTAATGTTAGTGAACCTACCAACGTTAGTGAACCTACCAACGTTAGTGAACCTACCAACGTTAGTGCACCTACTAACGTTAGCGATCCTATAAACGTTAGTGAACCTACCAACGTTAGTGAAACTACCAACGTTGGTGAACCTACTAACGCCACTGAACCTACCGACGATAGTGAACCTACCGACGTTAGTGAACTTACCAACGTTAGTGAACCTACCAACGTTGGTGAACCTACTCAAGTTAGTGAACCTACTAACGTTAGTGAACCCACCAACGTTGGTGAACCTACTAACGCCACTGAACCTACCGACGATAGTGAACCTACCGACGTTAGTGAACTTACCAACGTTAGTGAACCTACCGACGTTAGTGAACCTACCAACGTTAGTGAACCTACCGACGTTAGTGAACCTACCAACGTTAGTGAACCTACCAACGTTAGTGAACCTACCAACGTTAGTGAACCTACTAACGTTAGTGAACCTACCGACGTTAGTGAACCTACCAACGTTAGTGAACCTAATAACATTAGTGAACCTACCAACGTTAGTGAACCTAACAACGTTAGTGAACCTACCGACGTTAGTGAACCTACCAACGTTAGTGAACCTACCGACGTTAGTGAACCTACCGACGTTAGTGAACTTACCAACGTTAGTGAACCTACCAACGTTGGTGAACCTACTCAAGTTAGTGAACCTACTAACGTTAGTGAACCCACCAACGTTGGTGAACCTACTAACGCCACTGAACCTACCGACGTTAGTGAACCTACCGACGTTAGTGAACCTACCAACGTTAGTGAACCTAATAACATTAGTGAACCTACCAACGTTAGTGAACCTAACAACGTTAGTGAACCTACCGACGTTAGTGAACCTACCAACGTTAGTGAACCTACCGACGTTAGTGAACCTACCAACGTTAGTGAACCTACCAACGTTAGTGAACCTACCAACGTTAGTGAACCTACCGACGTTAGTGAACCTACCAACGTTAGTGAACCTACCAACGTTAGTGAACCTGCTAACGTTAGTGAACCTACCAACGTTAGTGAACCTACTAACGTTAGTGAACCTACCGACGTTAGTGAACCTACCAACGTTAGTGAACCTAATAACATTAGTGAACCTACCAACGTTAGTGAACCTAACAACGTTAGTGAACCTACCGACGTTAGTGAACCTACCAACGTTAGTGAACCTACCGACGTTAGTGAACCTACCAACGTTAGTGAACCTAATAACATTAGTGAACCTACCAACGTTAGTGAACCTACCAACGTTAGTGAACCCACCAACGTTGGTGAACCTACCAACGTTAGTGAGACTACCAACGTTGGTGAACCTACTAACGTTAGTGAACCTACCAACGTTAGTGAACCTACCAACGTTTGTGAACCTACCAACGTTAGTGAGACTACCAACGTTGGTGAACCTACTAACGTTAGTGAACCTACCAACGTTAGTGAACCTACCGACCTTAGTGAACCTACCAACGTTAGTGAACCGACCAACGTTAGTGAACCTGCTAACGTTAGTGAACCTAATAACGTTGGTGAACCTACAAACGTTAGTGAACCTGCTAACGTTAGTGAACCTAACAACGTTAGTGAACCTACCAACGTTAGTGAACCTACCGACGTTAGTGAACCTACCAACGTTAGTGAACCTAATAACGTTAGTGAACTTGATAACGTTACTGCACCTGCTAACGTTAGTGAACCTACTACCGTTAGTGAACCTACCAACGTTAGTGAACCTACCAATGTTAGTGAACCTACCAACGTTAGTGAATCTACTAACGTTAGTGAACCCACCAACGTTGGTGAACCTACTAACGCCACTGAACCTACCGACGATAGTGAACCCACCAACGTTAGTGAACCTGCTAACGTTAGTGAACCTGCTAACGTTAGTGAAACTACCAACGTTAGTGAACCTACTAACGTTGGTGAACCTACCAACGTTAGTGAAACTACCAACGTTAGTGAAACTACTAACGTTGGTGAACCTACCAACGTTGGTGAACCCACTAACGTTAGTGAACCTACTAACGCCACTGAACCTACCGACGATAGTGAAACTACCAACGTCAGTGAACCTAACAACGTTAGTGAAACTACTAACGTTAGTGAACCTGCTAACATTAGTGAATCTACTAACGTTAGTGAACCTACCAACGTTAGAGAACTACTAACGTTAGTGAACCTAATTACGTTAGTGCACCTAAAAACTATAGTGAACCTACCAACGTTGGTGAACCTACTAACGTTGGTGAACCTATCAACGTTAGTGAAACTACTAACGTTAGTGAACCTACTAACGTTGGTGAACCTAACAACGTTAGTGAACCTACCAATGTTAGTGAACCTACTATCGTTAGTGAACCTACCAACGTTAGTGAAACTAATGACGTTAGTGAACCTACCAACGTCGGTGAACCTATCAACGTTAGTGAACCTACCAACGTTAGTGAAGCTAACAACGTTAGTGAACCTACTATCGTTAGTGAACCCAACAACGTTGGTGAACCTACCAACGTTATTGAACCTACCAACGTTAGTGAACCTAACAACGTTAGTGAACCTACCAACGTTAGTGAACCTACCAACGTTAGTGAACCTACCAACGTTAGTGAACCTACTAACGTTATTGAACCTACCAACGTTAGTGAACCTACCGACGATAGTGAACCTACCGACGTTAGTGAACCTAACAACGTTAGTGAACCTACCAACGTTAGTGAACCTACCAACGTTAGTGAACCTACTAATGTTAGTGAACCTACTAACGTTAGTGAAACTACTAACGTTAGTGAACCTACCAACGTTAGTGAACCTACCAACGTTAGTGAACCTACCAACGATAGTGAACCTACTAACGTTAGTGAACCAACTCACGTTAGTTAACCTACCAACGTTAGTGAACCAACCAGCGATAGTTAACCAACTCACGTTAGTTAACCTACCAACGTTAGTGAACCTACCAACGATAGTGAAACAAATCAGGGTAGTGAACCTTCAAGACACAGGTCGTCGGTGTCGTCCGTGACCCAATTCCCACGACCATCTGCGCCGATTTCTACCCAGGCACCGCTTTAGTTGCGACCGCTACATTTTGAGTTTCATTTCAGTAGTTAAGGACCCCATCCCCACCCACCCCCCCCCCCCCAATCTGATCTTCAAGCATCTCTCGTGGTTTTTAACAGATAGCAAACCCTGCCTATCACTCATATAGTGGACCTGCCATGAGCTTAAGATGCAAACTCTCTAGACGCTCTCTAGACAGTCTCTAGACACTCTCTAGACACTCTCTAGACACACTCTAGACACTCTCTAGACACTCTCTAGACACACTCTAGACACTCTCTAGACACACTCTAGACACTCTCTAGACACACTCTAGACAATCTCTAGACACACTCTAGACACACTCTAGACACACTCTAGACGCTCTCTAGACAGTTTAGACACTCTCTAGACACTCTCTAGACACTCTCTAGACACACTCTGGACACTCTATAGACACTCTAGACGCTCTCCAGACAGTCTAGATACTCTCTAGACACACTCTAGACACTCTCTAGACTCACTCTAGACACTCTCTAGACACACTCTAGACACACTCTAGGCACACTCTAGATACTCTCTAGACACTCTCTAGACACTCTCTAGACACTCTCTAGACACTCTCTAGACATACTCTAGACACTCTCTAGATACTCTCTAGACACTCTCTAGACACTCTCTAGACACTCTCTAGACACACTCTAGACACACTCTAGACACTCTCTAGACACTCTCTAGACACTCTCTAGACACACTCTAGACACACTCTAGACACTCTCTAGACACTCTCTAGGCACTCTCTAGACACTCTCTAGACACTCTCTAGACACTCTCTAGACACTCTCTAGACACTCTCTAGACACTCTCTAGACACTCTCTAGACACTCTCTAGACACTCTCTAGACACACTCTAGACACTCTCTAGACACACTCTAGACACACTCTAGACACTCTCTAGACACTCTCTAGACACACTCTAGACACTCTCTAGACACACTCTAGACACTCTCTAGACACACTCTAGACACACTCTAGACACTCTCTAGACACACTCTAGACACTCTCTAGACACTCTCTAGACACTCTCTAGACACACTCTAGAAACACTCTAGACACTCTCTAGACACTCTCTAGACACTCTCTAGACACTCTCTAGACACACTCTAGACACTCTCTAGACAATCTCTAGACACTCTCTAGACACTCTCTAGACACTCTCTAGACACACTCTAGACACTCTCTAGACACTCTCTAGACACTCTCTAGACACACTCTAGACACTCTCTAGGCACTCTCTAGACACTCTCTAGACACTCTCTAGACACTCTCTAGACACTCTCTAGACACACTCTAGACACTCTCTAGGCACTCTCTAGACACTCTCTAGACACTCTCTAGACACTCTCTAGACACACTCTAGACACTCTCTAGACACACTCTAGACACACTCTAGACACTCTCTAGACACTCTCTAGACACACTCTAGACACTCTCTAGACACACTCTAGACACTCTCTAGACACACTCTAGACACACTCTAGACACTCTCTAGACACACTCTAGACACTCTCTAGACACTCTCTAGACACTCTCTAGACACACTCTAGAAACACTCTAGACACTCTCTAGACACTCTCTAGACACTCTCTAGACACACTGTAGACACACTCTAGACACTCTCTAGACACTCTCTAGACACTCTCTAGACACACTCTAGACACACTCCAGACACTCTCTAGAAACTCTCTAGACACACTCTAGACACTCTCTAGACACTCTCTAGACACTCTCTACGACACTCTCTAGACACTCTCTAGACACTCTCTAGACACACTCTAGACACTCTCTAGAACACTCTAGACACTCTCTAGACACTCTCTAAGACACTCTCTAGACACCCTCTAGACACACTCTAGACACACTCTAGACACTCTCTAGACAAGCTCTAAGACACTCTCTAGACACTCTCTAAGACACTCTCTAGACACTCTCTAGACACACTCTAGACACTCTTTAGACACTCTCTAGGCACTCTCTAGACACTCTATAGACACTCTCTAGACACTCTCTAGACACACTCTAGACACTCTCTAGACAGTCTAGACACTCTCTAGACACACTCTAGACACACGCTAGACACTCTCTAGACACTCTCTAGACACTCTAGACACAATCTACACACTCTCTAGACACTCTCTAGACACACTCTAGACACACTCTAGACACACTCTAGACACTCTCTAGACACTCTCTAGACACTCTCTAGACACTGTCTAGACACTCTCTAGACACTCTCTGGACACACTCTAGACACTATCTAGACACTCTTTAGACACTCTCTAGACACTCTCTAGACACGTTCTAGACACTTTCTAGACACACACTAGACACTCTCTAGACACTCTCTCGACACTCTCTAGACACACTCTAGACACTCTCTAGACATACTCTAGACACACTCTAGACACACTCTAGACACACACTAGACACTCTCTAGACACACTTTAGACACACTCTAGACACACTCTAGACACACACTAGACACTCTCTAGATACTCTCTAGACACAATCTAGACACTCTCTAGACACTCTCTAGACACTCTCTAGACACTCTCTAGACACACTCTAGACACTATCTAGACACTCTTTAGACACTCTCTAGACACTCTCTAGACACTTTCTAGACACTTTCTAGACACACTCTAGACACTATCTAGACACTCTCTAGACACTCTCTAGACACTCTCTAGACACTCTCTAGACACTCTCTAGACACACTCTAGACACTCTATAGACACTCTAGACACACTCTAGACACACTCTAGACACACTCTAGACACACTCTAGACACACACTAGACACAATCTAGACACTCTCTAGACATAATCTAGACACACACTAGACACTCTCTAGACACTCTCTAGCCACTCACTAGACACTCACTAGACACTCTCTAGACACACTCTAGACACTCTCTAGACACTCTCTAGACACACTCTAGACACACTCTAGACACACTCTAGACACACTCTAGACACACACTAGACACTCTCTAGACACTCTCTAGACACAATCTAGACACTCTCTAGACACTCTCTAGACACTCTCTAGACACTCTCTAGACACTCTCTAGACACTCTCTAGACACTTTCTAGACACACACTAGACACTCTCTAGACACTCTCTCGACACTCTCTAGACACACTCTAGACACTCTCTAGACATACTCTAGACACACTCTAGACACTCTATAGACACTCTAGACACACTCTAGACACACTCTAGACACACTCTAGACACACTCTAGACACACACTAGACACAATCTAGACACTCTCTAGACATAATCTAGACACACACTAGACACTCTCTAGACACTCTCTAGCCACTCACTAGACACTCTCTAGACACACTCTAGACACACGCTAGACACTCTCTAGACACTCTCTAGACACTCTCTAGACACAATCTACACACTCTCTAGACACTCTCTAGACACACTCTAGACACACTCTAGACACACTCTAGACACTCTCTAGACACTCTCTAGACACTCTCTAGACACAATCTAGACACTGTCTAGACACTCTCTGGACACACTCTAGACACTATCTATACACACTTTAGACACTCTCTAGACACTCTCTAGACACGTTCTAGACACTTTCTAGACACACACTAGACACTCTCTAGACACTCTCTCGACACTCTCTAGACACACTCTAGACACTCTCTAGACATACTCTAGACACACTCTAGACACACTCTAGACACACACTAGACACTCTCTAGACACACTTTAGACACACTCTAGACATACTCTAGACACACACTAGACACTCTCTAGATACTCTCTAGACACAATCTAGACACTCTCTAGACACTCTCTAGACACTCTCTAGACACTCTCTAGACACACTCTAGACACTATCTAGACACTCTTTAGACACTCTCTAGACACTCTCTAGACACTTTCTAGACACTTTCTAGACACACACTAGACACTCTCTAGACACTCTCTCGACACTCTCTAGACACACTCTAGACACTCTCTAGACATACTCTAGACACACTCTAGACACTCTATAGACACTCTAGACACACTCTAGACACACTCTAGACACACTCTAGACACACTCTAGACACACACTAGACACAATCTAGACACTCTCTAGACATAATCTAGACACACACTAGACACTCTCTAGACACTCTCTAGCCACTCACTAGACACTCACTAGACACTCTCTAGACACACTCTAGACACTCTCTAGACACTCTCTAGACACACTCTAGACACACTCTAGACACACTCTAGACACACTCTAGACACACACTAGACACTCTCTAGACACTCTCTAGACACAATCTAGACACTCTCTAGACACTCTCTAGACACTCTCTAGACACTCTCTAGACACTATCTAGACACTCTTTAGACACTCTCTAGACACTCTCTAGACACTTTCTAGACACTTTCTAGACACACACTAGACACTCTCTAGACACTCTCTCGACACTCTCTAGACACACTCTAGACACTCTCTAGACATACTCTAGACACACTCTAGACACTCTATAGACACTCTAGACACACTCTAGACACACTCTAGACACACTCTAGACACACTCTAGACACACTCTAGACACACACTAGACACAATCTAGACACTCTCTAGACATAATCTAGACACACACTAGACACTCTCTAGACACTCTCTAGCCACTCACTAGACACTCACTAGACACTCTCTAGACACACTCTAGACACTCTCTAGACACTCTCTAGACACACTCTAGACACACTCTAGACACTATCTAGACCCTCTTTAGACACTCTCTAGACACTCTCTAGACACGTTCTAGACACTTTCTAGACACACACTAGACACTCTCTAGACACTCTCTCGACACTCTCTAGACACACTCTAGACACTCTCTAGACATACTCTAGACACACTCTAGACACACTCTAGACACACACTAGACACTCTCTAGACACACTCTAGACATACTCTAGACACACTCTAGACACACACTAGACACTCTCTAGACACTCTCTAGACACAATCTAGACACTCTC